CTAACGCCCCATTGTCATGTACGGATGTGAGACATGGTCCACGACGCAGGGTGACGAGAATAAACTATTGACTTTCGAAAGGAAAATACTTAGAAAAATATATGGGCCCATATTAAACCCCAGTACTGGTGTATACGAGCGAAGAAAAAACGCTGACTTAAACAGTCTGTTTAAAACAACCAATTTAAAAGATTTTCTAAGGTCGAAAAGGTTAGAGTGGGCTGGCCATGTTTGGCGTGCAGAGGGTAAATTGATAAGACAGGTACTCATCAACAAACCAAATAAAAAACGACCTGTAGGAAGGCCAAGACAACGGTGGTTGGACCGAGTAAAGGACGACCTGGAGATTAAGCAATGGAGCAAGTATTGAGGATGCAGAAGATCGAGAACTTTGGAGAACTTTGGTAGAAGCTGCGAAGCGCCTAAATGGCGCGTAAAGCAAAAAAAAAATAAATATATATATAGTCACTAATAAAACCCCATGGCAAAGTTGATTACTGATATATCATGTTTTCCCACAATAATTATACGCGAACCATGTAAATAGTATAATATTGCTAAAATGTTTTATAACTAGGTATGCTTCAAAACGAATTAAAAAGAAAAGATGCAGAAAATAAAAGAGATAAAAATCATAGTGTTGTTAGAAGAAAGTAAAACATGTGTAAAATTGGATAGTATAATATATATTATAATTTTAAATATTATTTAAGAACATCGAAAAAAAAGGTGGTGATTGCCGAGTTGGTTCTCTCAAAGTTGAGGTAATTGTTTAGTTGGAACTTGGATATAATCATGCGGACCGCTGTATTCTATTTTTCCCGGGCTAGTCAGATTATGCCTATCCGCCCCTGGTACCCCACCTATCAAATTAACCAAGATCCGCCCCTGGATGGGTTCCACGGAAGTGTCATAATTAAGAGAAATCAGAGAGTGCGGTCGCACCCAGGCCCGTTCACAGAGGGTCCCGAAATTTTACAATTTTTTTTTTATTAATAATTAATAAAAACTATTATTTTTCTATTATAATATATTATTAAGCTAAATATTATTATCGTTAAAACCAAAATTCTTATCTCATTACAAATTGCATTATAATTGTTACAAAAATCGGATATAAACTTAAAGCTTTTGAATTGCTTCAAACGGTCTTAAATAAAATGAAAGAAATGCGTGATAATTTCGAAGAAGTGTTTGAGGAAGCTAAACAAATAGCAACTTCGTGAGTTCAGCCAACATTTAATAACATAAGAAAAAAAAAATTACTAAATATTTTGATGAATATAGTAGAGATGAATGTCTCCTTAATGCTTAACAATATTTTAAAGCACAAATTTACTATCGTACTCTGGATATAATTATCGAACAACTCCAACGCCGTTTTAATGGTATGAACCAAATAATAAAAATTCTTGCTTCAATGATACTAATTAATATATGTTCAATGAATAAAAATTAACTTAAACTTTCAACTACCTTTTTAGTAAGCAATTATGAAAATAATTTAACAATAGATTTAATCAACCAAATTTTTCAACTAAAACGATCATTTGAAAATCAAATTTCAAAATTAAATTCTGTACATGACTTGGTGAAATTTATAATTGTAGACAATTATTTAACAGCGGCAAATTTCCAGATTTATGGATGGCTTGTTTTCTTTTTTTGACAATACCAGTGACGGTCACAAATGCAGAAAGAAGTTTTTCAAAACTTAAAATAATTAAAAACTATATTCGAAGTATGATGTCCCAAATTTGTTTGTCAAGTTTTTTTTATACTATTAATAGAAAAAAAAATTGCTAAAGAAATTAAGACATCAGATATAATTTCTACTTTAGCAAATAAGAAGTCCAGAAAAATGTTTTAAGTTTATAGTCTTAATTGTTATTCGTTACATCGGTATTTATATACTGATTTTGTTGTACATTGATAATATTATTTAATAATATTAAGTATTAAATTAGTAGTAAATATTTTAATAAATATATTATTAATTAAATGATTCTTAAATAATATGACGAGTTATTTATTATTTATTAATATATGCAATAATATTTAAAATAAATTTTAAAATAATTTTAATAAGGTGAATGCACCCCCCTCAGATATTCTTAATATTTACATCTGAATGAGGGGGTTGGGCTGAAAAATTTGCTCCCGAATCAACATTTTATAGTTACGCCACTGATGTGACGTTCCTTTCCGTTTATTCTGTTGTTATCAACATTCAAACAAAACTGCTCGTTCGGGCCTAATTAGTTCTATTGATGATTCCCTTTACTTTTCGCAACAAAAGGTAGACTATGTCTTTCTTCAAGGTCTAATCTACTTCTGTACCATATTTCATTAAAATCGGTTCAGTGGTTTCGAAGTCCATTGGACATAAATCGTTGAACATATTAAGTATCTAGTATAAAAAGGCGTAAGAAACATATAAACATTAATTTTTATATGGTTGAATTACACAGTCCCCCCCTGGAATATATTTTATTATTTTAGATTAGAAAATTGACACGAATCCCTAAAATAAAAATGTTAGGTTGAAAAAAAGCATAAAATATTTGTATATTCGAATGTTATTTATTTGTTATTGATTCATTCATACTGTTAAATAATTTACATAAATCTTACAAAATCAACATATTAAACAAATCAAATATTTCCTAGGTAACCGAAAAAGAAAAAAGTTTATACGTTCAGTGAAAAATTGTTTTGATCTTTTAAAATGCGATTTTCGAAAAATCCTTTCTTATTGTACGGTGGTAGTATTAGAGGAACCACTGTTCCAAATTTCAATTGTATACGTTAAGTAGTTTTTGTGATGTAACGATCAGTGAGTTAGTGGTATTTGGATTTTATATATAAACTAGTGATGGGAACAATCGAGAGAAAATACTCGAAATACTCGATTGTTCGATGTAATCGATTGTTCTCGATTGTTTTGGAAATCATCGAGTGATTCTCTCGGTATAAAAATCAGTTGAAATAATCGAGTGAAAAATGCTCGATTACTCATACACTAGTTTAGTTCCGAGTTATTCTCTCGGTAACAAAATCCTATATCAGTTGAAGTAATTGAGCGAAAAGTGCTGGTTAGGTTAAATAAGGTCTAAAGCCGCGTACACACTTGTAACATTCGCGCGTAACAAAACGCCGTAACGCAACTTAGGCGCGTAACAGCAATCGATGTGTGGACGTGAAGGCGTAACACCGTCGCGTAACAAATGTTGATACGCGACGAAGTTACGCGGCGTCCCACGAGTTGTCGGTAAATTTGAACCGCATCAAAAGATTGTTGCGAGGTGGGGTTACGAAAAGTGTGGACGTAAATAATAACGCAACTACGCAACAACGCATTATTTGTATTCTGAACGTCATGCTACACGCTTTAAGTCGTAAACATTGTTGTCTGTAATTAATTTTTGTAACTTAATATTTCAATATGGAGTGGAATGAAGAAAATACAATACAATTTATTGAATTGTATGAACAAAAACCATTACTTTGGTATGCAAAACACCCTCAATATTATAATAATATCAAAAGAAATGATGCTTTGGAAGAAATAGCAAAAGAAATTGGGTTTACTGCTGATGAATGAAAAAAAAAATTCTTGGCTTGTTATCTGCAATGAGACGAGAAAAATCAAAAATCAAAATAAATAAATAAATAAACATGGAACACTACGCAACATAGCCACACCGCAACACCTACCTACACACAAATAATGATATCGTAACACGTAACACGTAACACTACAGATTCACGTTACGGCGTTACGCGCGAAGGTTACAAGTGTGTACGCGGCTTAAGATAATATAACATTTAACTAATAGGTAATAGTTTTGATTATTTATAATTATAATACATAATATATTTTAAAGTTTAAAAATTTGATTAGGTATTTTATCGTTCAATCCAACAATTCAAATTCTTAATCACTGCTTGTAAAGATGCATTCATTAAATTAAATATTACAAATGTAGTAGTTTAAAATTGACAAATTTTAATGGTATGATATTGTGATATTATATTTAATTTTAGTTTTTATCCATTTTTAGTCACAATAATATTTTTAAACAGTAATTTAAACATTTTTTAACTTTTTTTAACTTTATAACGTTTTTTTTTTATTTACTATATATTGAGTTATAATTTAATAAGTATCTATTTTTATTGTTTTAAACAAGGATGTACTTTTATTTTATTTATATGAAGTTGATAATAAATTAAAATATTCCCAAAAAAATACGACATGTTTAATTTTATGGTTTATTAATATATGGTATATAATTAAAATGTATTATGGTTAATGTATTTATTATAAGTAATACGACGTACTTATAATAAATACATTAACCATAATAAATAAGTAACCATAAGTAATACAACGTACTTATTATTCAAACGAAAGAGTGATTTCATAATATATTACACTAGGTACTACCTACTAGAATTTTAAATTATTATTTAGTAATTAGTAGTTACTATCAACTAAGTACTAACCGAGATATTATTTTCGAGTGAATCTTTCGATTGTTGAAATCACTCGATTGTTCCCATCACTAATATAAAGATTAAATAAAAAAATTGTTTTTAATCAAATTTATTTTTTTTTATTTTTTTCTCGTCTTAACTAGAGAAATATGTGGTCACTTTAAGAATACCGTATGGGAACACCGCTGTTTATATTTTATACCATACCTACTTTGTGAACATTTATTCGTGTAAATTCTAATTTTTAATACATATTCTTTGCGTTCGTTCACATATTCGAATCAGTATGTCATATAAATTATCATTATCTGAATTCATAATTATTAACTAAATTTTAATTAATAAAGTATTTATATCTCAATTAATGATGAAAAATACCCCGATAATTTGAAATATTATCACGGTTTTACGATAATGGTATAAATGCATAGTACAATATTATTTGAAGTACAAGAATGGTTACACTGTTTGTTGGCCCTTGGTCTTCTAACCCTAATATTATACTTAAACATTAACATATCAATTTTTCAGTGACGTAAACGATTCAACTTTTTATGAATTTGTGAAAGTAGAGTAGTATTTTAGTATATAGAAATATTGTGAATATTTTTACTCCGGACAGTGTTTATTTGTGTGCATTATGGATTAAATATTAAAATTAGAAATATTCAATTCAAAGGGCAGAAGGGTAAGATAAGACATAATTTTTTTTAATGATATCGATCACTCATCTAAATTTGTTATTTGATAAAAGCTTAACTTTTTAAAAAAACGATTTGTATAGAGCACAAAGACAACAATAAACAGTCAAGATGTCCAACAATAACTTTTGGGGTAATTTGGATTCTTCTAATTTTCAGCAGCAACCCGTAAGTTTATTTGCTATTTCAATTTATTATTTATTACATTTTTAATTTGTCTATTATAGATAGAAAGTTCTCAACAGAATGATGAATGGAGTTGTAGTACTGATGATTGGAATTATATTGAACAGCCTTCAAACAATAAAAATTCTAATACTCAGAAATTTAAATCTAATTCTACACTTAATTCAGATTTGACATTGAATAGTTATTCTGTTTTTGACTCCAATAATGGAGCAGCTCAACCAATAGTGAATTCAAATAGGCCTTCTTATAATTATAACAATGGAATTGAAAACGATCAACAGAAATTTCCTGCCATTAGTAATAATTGGTTTGATAAAACTGAAAGTCCACTTGATCAAATTAAACCTAATGTCCATCATTTTAATCAAAATGTTGATAGTATTGTTGGAACCGATGACAATTTTTGGGCAGATGTTGAAAATAGAGAAATACTTCCACCAGAATCATTTCAGAACGATTCACTACAAGTTGAAATGAATAATTTACAAATTAGTGATGAGGTAAGTTATTAATTATAATTTATAATCTTAAAATTTTTAATTATGAACTTATATAGTTAGTGCATTTGCTTATTCTTTTTTAATTTTTTTTTTTTTTTTATGTTCTCTAATGATATTAAAACAATGCACAATTGGAGTTTATTACATTTGGGTGAATGACATTAATTTTATATAAATTATTAAGTTAATGATAGTTTTACATTTTAGACAAAATATTGGTCAATTGAAGTTTTCGTACAAATATTCTAATCACTATTTTTAAATTGATGGTAGATGTGTTTAAAATAAAATTCAAATTCAGTACATTAAAGAAGTACTACATTACATTCACATTTTAATTAAAATATTTAAGGGATACTAGATATATCATAATTTGATTAACCGAGTAAAATTTAGCTTTATAAGTGATTCACACATAGGCATTGAGCCTATATTTATATCTAATTGCTAGAGTATAAATATTGGGGGGGGCTTAGCCCCTTACATACATTTTTCAATTACTGCCTCTCAGAAGCTTTTTTTTTCACCCATTACCCTCTATAAAAAATGTGCTTATTAGAAGGCAAGTAAAATTTAAAAATAAGTAATAAAACAATAATTCACTTTAAAAGTATAGATAACAGATTTAATATAGTTTTTTACATTTTATATTCTTATTTTTTCTATTTTTATTAGCAAATGTATTTAAAATAATTTCGGTGTCAACAATAATATTTCTCTCATTATTAAGTATTGCAAATTTCAAAAACCGTTCCTGTGACGTAGTAAACCTGAGATAATTATTCTTCTTATTACAGAAAATGACTGTTCGCAAGTAGCCGAACTGACCGGAAGAGTGATAGCCAATTAAATCATTTTAAAAAGATTTGGAAACGTATCTTTAGATATATTTTCTTTGATGATTAAATAGTTAGGAACTCCTTTTATCATATTTTTCAAAACATAATTATATTCTGCTGTGCGCTGTATTAAACACATTCTAGACTCTAAAAATAATAGATATATTATTTAAGACCATGATTATAATATTGTTACTAAAAAAAAGAATAACAAAAATGTATTTTATTCATTTTTTCAGTAGTAATCACATATTTTTTTATTTATTAATATAATAATATAAATTTCTGTATGGTTTTTGGGGGGGCTTTAAATGTTTTTGAAGGGGCTTAGCTCCTTCAGCCCCCCCTAATTGCGCCTATGGTTTCACATTTTGTGATCCATGATTCTTATTTAATAATTGTATTGTACTTGTATTACTAGTCAATTTATACCAAAAAAATTTTTATCTTAGAGTATTTGATTCTTGAAATACATGTTTTATAAGTATAATCACTTTATTAATAATAATAATTTAATCAAATAAATAAAATAGGCAAGAATTCAATAGTACAGATATGAGTTAAATATAGACAATGAAAAATAACAGAAGTACTTAAAATTAATAAGAATTATTATTATATTTTATTATGTTATACTATTTTAAAGTATAATTAAAATTGAAGTATTAATAAACAATAAGTTAAATAAAATATTTATGTATTTTTTAGGTGAACAATTTTAATGCATGTGATAACAATTTAACATTTAATGATACTGAAATTATAAAAAGAAATTCTACAGAAAATAATGATGGTATGTTTTTATTTATTTTTAAAAATTAGATTTATCTTTTTATGTATTATATTATAATATACTGGAGAAATACAAGTCTTATCAGTTGAGGTTAATGCTCTTTACCACTTGAGCGAATCACGGACGTTTCGCCCTCGCCGTTTCTTCCCTGTCAAAAAAACAAGTCCATGGATGTTTCGTTCCCATCTATTATTAAGATAGGATATTTGGCCCCCATGAGTTCTATAGATTTATTTTAATTATAATATTTGTACAAATGTAACAGGAATAAATAATCATATAATATTTATAATTTATGTTTACTTAATATAATTTTACCTTAATTATTATTATTATCATTATAATGGTTTTTTTTTTTTTATTGATACCTTGTGTCTGTTACCGTTCACTGATTGTGGCGTGTACAGTTTATGCAATATACGGTTATTGTGGATTTAAATTTGTTAATTGTGCGTTTTAAAAAGAATTTAAATTTTAAATTAAAAAAAAAAACTATTTAAATTTAGTGATTTAACATTCTAGGAGCCAAAGGTCCTATGGATAGGTATAAATAAATTTATATAACTCCCGAGGGCCAAATGTTCTATCTTAATAATAGATGGGGACGAAACGTCGGTAGCGAAACGTCCTTTTACCAAGCTGAGCTGGTCTGCTTTGGCCCTGCCCAAAACTTGGCTTAGACCTGGTCCAGTTATGGACTTAATATAAATTGTCTGGTCCAGGCCAAGTTCAGGTATGCACTTGCCAGTTGTCAGGGCTGAGTATAGCTAACAATTTCATATTTCTATTATGGACTATCAGAAATAAATGTAAATAAATATTTGTAATTTATTATAATTCATTATAAAAAAATATACATTTTAATTTAAAAAAATCTATATTTTTATTACATAATAAACATTTAACATAAAATTTTAGGAAAAATTCAGGTTAAGTTGGCCTGCTTGAGCTATTTTTAAATACTGACTGTTTTAAACACATCAAATTCCAATTTTTTTCATTCTAATTTCTTTTTCTTTCACATCTTGCTTAAATTGAATCTATTAGGCCCATTATTTATAAGTTGAGCTACATTTATAATTTCTCTAAAATGAGGGCTTTCTACAGTTGAATATAGTAACAAGCTACTTGCAAACCACTTGCTGATGGTAATCTAAACAGCTCATAAATTCCATTTTTGACATTTTTTCATTGTTGTTTGAGCCAATTTTTTTGATAGAGGAGGCATTTTTTTAATAATAATGATAACTATTTAAAATGACAAAATACATATCACACTGCCACTTAAAAAGTGATAACTGAAAAAATATGATTTTCCATCTTTATTATAGCATAAGTTAAGTAAATATAATATTATACAAAAATATCACAAGTCTATTTATATTTTCACCAACAGATGGAATAAATGTCACTTTTGATAATTTAACATTTAACCGATCAAATATTATCAAAAGTGTCATATCTCACTTGCATTGTACAACTTCAAGAGAACATGTATTATAATTTGTTAAAAGTATATTATTTTTAATTGGTCATTGTATTTAATAATAAATTACAAACAATACAGTACTATTTCGTCTTGTACCAGTATTATTTTTGAAAATAATTTCCATACGAGGACTATTTCGACTTGTGTTATTATTAATTAAAGTAATTTAAAATCATAAATTATTTTTAAAGCATTATTTAGACTTGTGCTGTTATTAATTAAGATAATTTAAAATATTATATTAGTTTTAAAGTATTATTTCTATTTGTGTCATTATTAATTGAGGTAATTTTAAATTTTATTTGATTTACAAAATTTTATTTCGAGTTATGACAGTTTTTAATAAATTTTATTGAACAAATTTAAGTTGTGACACAAATTATGTTTCAGTATTTACAAGTTATCCACAAACAAAAAACAAGTTAAAAATTCATTAAAGTTCAGTCCCATTAATGTACCATCTCAGTATGCACAACTAATACAAATGGTGAAGAAAAGGGGAAAATCATATAATGTTAACGAGTTGACACATTTAGATTTTTCGGCAATTAAAACACTAATAGATGACCTCAAATTCAATTTCAGCCATGTGAAGATTTAACTCCCCCCCCAAAAGTTTGGAAGATTGAAAAGGATTCAATTCATACGTTTTATTTTAAGAATTTGTATTCAAAAGAATTTCAAACTGTTAAATTAAACAGGAAAATTAAAGGGAACTTGACAATACAACACCTAACAGATTTAAAGCATGCATACAGGACGCTATTAAAAATCTAAGAAAATAAAAAGACTGATTTGCTAACATTAGTAAAAAACAACCATATTCCGCAGTTTTATGCAGATTTTTACTATACTTTAAAGTAGACTTAAATTACATTTTTTGAAAACAAGGTTCCTTATACAAAACTAAGTCATGTTATATTATTATTACCTGTAAGTTTAATTTATGTAGTTCAATAATTTTTCAGATTTGTTTTTAATACATTTTATTAAGTTAAGATTTTTCAGTTATGTTTTTTAAATAATTTTATTTAACCTTTATGAAATTTTATTATATTTAATGAAAATAATAATGATTTAGTTTTAGTTTTAAATAATTATCTTTTCTTAAAATAAATAGTTGTAAGAACAATTTTAATGTAAATTATTCCATTGAAAACGTCACAATTTAAAACTTAATTAAAAGAATTACAAATTAAAATTGACTTGTTAAATAAGAAATGGCTGATTAGTAAAAAATTAAAAAAAATTGAAAAAAGGAAATAAGATAGTAAGTGAAAAACCAAATAAATTGATCAATTTATGAAGTTACAAAATGTTTTACAAAATGTTGTACATTTTCAATTAACTTTATTGGAGAATCATATTTTTTCAGTTGCGTCACTTTTTAAGCGCGAGTGCGATATATACTAATTTTCTATTTTCTAATTACTCATATTTTATTTCCTGAATCCTGAAGTTTTGGATTATTTACATAACTTCAGGATTTGGGAAATAAATGGAATTTTCCAAATTTTTTCTGAAGGTTTGCAATACAATCGGGTTACTTCTCATAATTCTATAATTAATGCCTGTAGCGTTTATGCTGTTAATTATATTCATGATTAGTGTATGTATTTTATTACTAATGAAATTTTTATTTGATATTGATGATATATTGATGCTAATTTTTTTGTAGTAAATACAAAAATTATTTGTAGAATACTTCAATTATTGTTTACTATTATTATAGTATTTTTATAGTTTACTTTTTATATTTATTAAATATGATATTTTAGATCGACTACCAGTTGGATTGCATCGATTGGTTACTGGACAAACAAAATCATTTGAAGATTATTCAAACCCTGAACCATATGATCCTCAACCATTTGATGTTCGAACAGTACCTGGCCAGTTAAGTGATGATGATATTCCTGTTCAAAGACATGTTACAGGTTCCCAAATTGGAGCTAGACCAATTGATAACAACTCTAATTTTCAAAATATTGATAATAATTCAGTAACTTTAAAAAGGCTTTCATCAGAGCAGTTTCAAAATCAATTTGAAGGTCATTCTCGACAAGTTTTACACAGAGATGTTGAAGATTTTGTTAACCAGCCCAATGACAATTTAAAGTTAGATGATTCAATTAGAGTCATTTCTGATATTGATAGTTATTCATCAAGTAGAAATGAATCACAATTGGAATTAAAAGAGCCAATGACTGTTATTAAAAAAAGTCGTCCAAGAATTTTAGATCATGAAGTTTTTGAACGCACTGGACCAGATGGTTACATGAATGAAACAAGTCCTTATTTGAGGTCAACTACTCAAAACCAAAATAAAGCAGTAATGGATTCCCAACAAGATAATAGTCTAAAATTAATTTCTGCTCAATCAGAAAGTACTGAACAATTTCAAGAGTATGACAGAACAGAAAAACGAGTTGAAAAAAAACATCCTCCCCCAGGATTTCATAGAATGGTTGAAGGTAATATTGGAGAAGAAGGTCAAAAATCAAGATTGTCAAAAATAAACCATAAAAATGATGAACGACTTCGTCGACATTCAATCGATTCAGATTCATCAGTTCCACTGACTAATCTAGTATCAGAAGAAGGTATTAGGAGTATCCGCAGAGGATCTCAAACGAAAAAATATAACAAAAATGTAGAGCGTTACCAAAATCGTGAAAGAAGACATTATCGTCATCCTAGAGAGTAAGTAGGAAAATCTTGTTCTTTGTTCATTTTATTAAACATAAAAAAAAATAGATTTATAAATTACATTCTATGGTATTAAAATTATAAAGTTTTATCTAAAAATTTATTTTAATATTTTCTTGAAAGAAGCGAAGGAGATTATTTTCATGAAGTAGAAGAAGAAGAAAATGCTTCACTGAGTCCTGAAGTTGAACCTGAATTTCGATCACATCGATCTCGAAATCATCAACCTAAGCGATTTAGACAAAGAAATCATCATGATAGGTATCTGATATTTTTAATATAATTTTAGATATTAAATTAATATTGTTTGTATATTTGATATTTGTACTTGCAATTAACCAATTTTCACATTTTTTTTTTTTTTTTACATACAATTTTAATATTCAACTCACATACATAACTGTTGCATGTTTTTATCCTGCTTTGCACAGCTACGACCACTCAGACATAGAATATCCAAGTGAATATGATGAATTTGATGAATATGAAAGACGGAGACAATATAGGTAAAAATTTAAATTTAATATAAATAATCAGAAATTATTTACTCATATTTGAAATATAAATGGTTTTACCGCAATGCATTAAAAAATATTAAGTTTATCTATTTTAATTTTTAGAATTTCTATATTTTACTTTTTTGGTATTTACATATTCCTATTTTATTTATTGCTTGATAATTTACAAAAATAACTATTATTATTTATAAATTCATACAAGGCAATATCCCACAATAGCAACAGGTTTTCTGATTGAATATTTTATCATATTATCTTATAAAAATGTATATGTATATTTGGGAGAGGTTGAAGCACCTTTTGGATTTTAGTGACATTCTAGCTCAATCAGTATTTACAAGTATTATAATTTGCATTTGTTAGTGTCCTTTAATAATTTGAAATTATTTTATTTTTGTAAATACATTGATTTTGCTTTAAATTTTTATTTACATTTTCAGAGTAAATTTTATATAGTGCTGTATTGTTTTGTGAAGTATGAGCGTCTCCAGAAGGGGCAAAAGAGAGCACTCGCCCCCCCCCCAGAATTTTTAAAATGTTTTCAAAATTATTATCTGTAACATGCTAATTTAGTAAACATAGATTATTTTAATATAACATATATATTATATGTAGAAGAAAACTATCTTTAATAATAATTGGGTTATTTTATTTTATCATACATTTTATGTTTGAGGAAAAAGAATAATGAGTAAATAAAATGTAGGTATAAAATGTACAAAAAAAATCTACATTTATTTTTAAATTAATTTGGCCCCCCCCCCCCTAAAAATAATTTCTGGGGACACCCATACAGTGAAGTATAGTTTTTTTGTTATTCAACTATGGTTAAAAACATTTAATCTAAATAAAAAAATTGATAATATTAAGGTTATTTGTAGAAAAGTGTGTAAATAGTTACTTTAATTTTGTTTTTAATTTAGTTTATTGCATATATTTTATAATTTTAGTTTTTTATTTGTTGTTGTTTAATATGTAAATTATATTTATTATATATTATAAAAACTGTTGATTACTTTTTAGTATTTATTGTTATATTTATTAATATACAACAGTTTTAATTAAAAATGTCATTGTAATTTCGTATTTTTAGAAGTCCTGAATTAGATCGATATAGAAGACATCCTAAAAATTATCGTGATAAACGATACCAAGATGAAATAATGTATGGTATGATTTTAATTTTTAAATAAATATTTTAATACAATTGTAAAATTTTTATGTTTAGTAGTCAGAATTACAGAAGAGATGAGGTTATCTATCGTAATAGACCTTCAAGTAGAACTGATTCAGATTATCATAGAAGGTATTATTCACCTGTACCTTTTCAAGATTATTCAGCTCATATTGAAATGCTTGATCCATTAGAGAGTATGTGATAATATTAACATTGTATTAAATTAGTGTCTATTGTTTTTAAGTTTATATATCTTGATTTATTGTAAATTTTTTTTCTCTTAGGGAGAAATTTCCTTTTAAAATTTAGAGAAAATAATCCTAAAGCATATACTGAGTGGTACACAAATTATAAAGCTAAAGTTGAAATGCAGAAACTAATATCAAGGACTAAAAATGGATCTGAATGTAGTACACCATTATCAACACAATCACATGATGTGTATGTTTCCAAAGCAATTAAGTTATTTCAGTTAAGATATATATTTTATATTTTATTTATGTATTTAGAGGATCTTTAAATCATATTGTTAGACAAGAAAAAGAAAAGGAAATTCATCGGACTACTCCTCTTAGATATCAAAAGTATCATATAAATGGTAATTTCAGACTAAACTATTTATTATACTAAGGTTTCCTAGTTTTAATAATATAAATGATTTATAAACATTACTAGCGTGGTATTATATATTGGTTAAATTAATTTTATCTAAAATGTTATTTATTATTGTGAATTAATTAATAAAATTGATTGTTTTTTTATTAATTGTGCTTTCACTAGTAAAAAATTGTATTTTAAAACATTTAATCAAAATTAATTATATTTGGTTTTTTCAAATTAAATTGTACAATACAGGATTATTTTATAAATATTTTGAAATGGTGGTTTCCAAATTTATATTTTTGTTGAGATGTACTCTAGTGACATAAGAAAACAAAATTAATGAGAAAATGATATTTTGATGAAGAAATAATTAATAATAATTTTTGAAAATGTTTTATCTTTTTGCATGTTTTTGACTTTAAATTGAGCTCTAATCTTTTGTTAAGTATAATTTGAGAACAAGTTCTTTAAAATCTTATTTTATTAAATTTAATTAATTTTATATTTATAATACTAATTATACCTATTTTTAGCAAAAATGAATATGTGTTTTGGGAAATTATATGTGTTAAACTCTTCAAGTGCTGCAGTTAATATTTTTAAAGCAGTGCCTGATTTGAATGATACTGATACTGCTGAACTTTTTAGATTCCCAACACCTTTTGTATTGTTAGTATAAAATACAAATCAAGTTCTAAATTTTTATTTTTATTAATATAATAATTATTGTAATAAATATTTTTCAGAGGTAAAACTCACAAAAATGCTGTAGCTCAATATTTAAACAAACTTTCAGAAGAGGCAAATAACCATTCAGAGTGTCTTTTGTATGAATTAATTTGTATGATAACTAAGCGTAATGGAGTAAGTAAAATGTAGTTTTGTTTAATAGAGACTATGTATATATAAAATACTTTAATTTTAATTTTATGTTTTAAAGATTGTTGATGGAACTGATATATCTGAACTTTTAATGGAAAATGTATTGAAATTTCCAATTGACAGTATATTAATTGATAATATAAACTTAAAAAATACCAAGGGAATGTCAGTTGAACCATTAAATAATTTCAGAGAATTACTTATACAAGGAAATAAATCTGAGGCTTTAGGTAAGTGATACTAGTACAGGTAGTAAAAATAATCTTAAATCATATATAATATTTTAAGAATGTAAATTTTAACATATCTTGCAATAATGTTTAAATATTATGCTTATTAGTTTTCTTAATTATAATCAAAACTCGTAACAATTCGAAAAATATTGTAAAATTTTTATTTCATGCAATAAAAATTAAAATGTTTAGTATAAATCTAGTGTGTTAATACTAGTGTTTAAAATTAAAAAGATTAAATCCATCCATTTTGGTTTTAATTAAATTTATTTTTTATTTTTAAAGTATTCAATACTAATATTTAAGGTGTAATAAATTTCGGTAAGATTCATTTTTCAAATATGACTATTTTATATTGCTTTCAAATTTATTTTATTTAATATGACATATATAATTAAGGACTTGCATTTTGAACTTAAATCATACTTTTATGTTTTATCATATTATACTCATAGTTTAATAGTTAGATGTGTCATCAAACCAAAGTAAAATAATTTTTTAGCATGTAATAAATGACATAAATTAAATGTAATTCAACCAGACATAAAAAACATAGATTAAGTGATGAATAAAATTTCACTTTGTTAATATTATAATCAATAAAATTATATTTAGATAAGTATTTTGTAAATTGAATTAATTGGAACTATTTCCAATTATTGTTATTTAAATAGAATATTTTTAACAACATATATATTTAAAACTTTTAATAACATAATGTTAATATTAATATTATTAAAAATGTATTTCAACTATATATGTATTTTTAGAATTTGCAATAGCAAATCAAGATTGGGGCTTGGCATTTATATTGGCTTTATATATGGATTCAAAAACATTAAATTATGTTAGATCAAAGTATTTTCAAACAATATCGCCAAATGATACTTTACAAACGTTTTTTCAACTTAGTAGTGGTAAAATACCATCATGTACAACTGTAAGTAAATTTCTTAATTTCTAATACTTTTTTAATTTATAACATTCTTATAAACAATTGTTATTTAGGAAAATTTTAGAAAATAATATAGTGAAACTAGTTTATGGTAGAATCTATGTATCCTATAAAAAAATGTTGTTTTCACATAATTCCATTTTTTTTTTCTTTTTATTTCTCTTGTAGTATTAAAAATCAGTCATTATTTAAATTAATATTCTCTGGAATCAATTATTATTTTTAAAATTTCCTTATTTGGTTTAAAAAAAAAATTGAGTCATTAGAATTTTATATTGTAAGTAGTTCAATAATTTAGATATTGAGTCTAATTTAATTACATTTTGTAATTAAGAAATGTTTAATTAAAGCCTTAAGGCATTTTTTCAAAAACTTGACAGTACTTATATTATTATTATTATAAAATAGTCGTACAATTATTTAATCATTAATTCCTCAATTATTATGTATTATTTCATCATATCTTCTATATAACATATTTTTATCAAATTGTTTTATCATAAAACTGAAATATATTTCTGCTAATCATTAATAATTTATTTTATTTGGTAAATAATAGTGCTGTACCGATAACAGTTGGGGTGATTGGAGAGAACATTTAGCCATGATTTTAAGTAATCAACATGTCAATATAAATAATGCTCGAATTGCCACCATACAACTTGGAGACACTTTAAGTTAGTATGTAAGGTTAAAAAAATTATTTTAATACTTGTTTTTGCCTTAATATTTCAGATGCTAAAGGTGATGTGTTTGGAGCCCACTTTTGTTATTTAGCTATTCAAATACCATTAGAATCACTTGGGTTATCTTCTAAGTATACTCTTTTAGGTACATCTTTTAATCAGCCGTTTAATACTATGGCTTCAAATCGTGCCATACTACTTACCAGTGCTTATGAGTTTTCTATGCGATTAAATCTCAGTAATTTTCAAATTCCTAGTCTTTTGGTAATTTACTGTATCATTATTTATTTATATTTTTATTTTATTGTTTAGACCAAAAGTTTATAGTTTAATATTACTTTTAGCCTTATAAATACTTGCTAGCAATTCGCCTAGCTGAGTATGGAGAATGTGAACATGCTTTACATCATTTAGAAGCTATTGCAGCACAGGTGGTCTCATCACCTGAATCTGTAAATTTAGGATTTATTGCCAATGTAGTAGAATTAAGTACAGATTTGCATTTTATGCAATTATCAAATAATAGTTTACCTGGAAATTTGGAAACATTGGATTGGTTAGAAAATTTAAAACATATATTAATGAGTTCTGGAAATGTAAGTAAAATGGATTTATATATTTTAAATATTATTCTACATTAATTATATATTTTATATTTTAATTTATTTAATTTATTAACTGTTTAGAAGTATAACTCTGTAGATGAAGTAGCACCATCAGTACAACAACAAATAGATAACTATCAATCACATAAAATTGAATCTTCAACAGTACCCGATGAACAACAAACTGTAAGAATTATGAAAATAAAATGAAATAATTAATTTAACCTTTATATATAGGTTCCAGGTGCAAGCATAGATTATTCTACTAAATATCAAGTACCACCACCTCAAACACCTTTACAAGTTGTTCAACCGCCATCTATTTCATCAGTAAACCCATATTGGCAACCAAATGTTGTTTCCCAATCAAGTGAAATTCAACCACAACCACCTCAAAATGGTAAATTTTAAAATTAATATACTTTTACTTATTTATTATTAAACTAAAGTTGTGTTTTTTTTTTAAAAAATATTCTATTAAATTATGTTTTCTATAGTTGTATTATTTAAATATTCTATTTAAAATAGCCTTATTTGAGATATATATATATATATATATATATATCGCTTGTTTGCTACAACAATGGCATAATATGAAAAATATGATTTTACACAAAACAAATTTGAAAATTTTATTTACATAAAAATGATGATAAAATCATGTTTAATAATTAAATTACCTTAAAAACTTATTTGAATAGAAGTAAAGTGTTGTAGCACACTATATTCATGCTTTCAATTTTCACCTACAATAATATTATTATTATAAAATTAGGAGTTAGTTTAAGTTTTTAACTAATGAGACTGTTGTTGCAAATAGTCATAATAAGTCATTATTTCATCAATAAAATCATAAGTCGAAATAATACACTTTTTCAAACAAATAAAAAATACCTTCTTACCTTTGTAACATTAACACATAAATGTAAATTATGTCATTCTACCAAAAAAAATGATAGCTATTTATCAATATATATATATATATATATATATATTATAAGTATATTGGAATACTAACTGAGATAAGACAGTATTGGAATAAAACATGTGGATAACCCATGATAACGCAATAATGTCACAACTGCCATTTAACGGTTTATTTTTGTGTATTCACTTATGTCATTCTTGTAGTATAAAGAAAAACACCAAAATTATTATTATTTGTAAACAACTCAAAAATGACAATTTTTATGTTATGTCGTTTTTGTGGCAAATAAGCGATAAAGAATATTTAAATAAACATATAGTACTATATTTTTTTATTTATCATTTTAATCTTATAATAATGTTGATATTTGTATTGTTTGAAAAATAACATATATATGAACTGTTCATACTTTTAATTATTAATATATTAGTAGTGTATTGATAATATGATTTATAAACAATATAATAATCAAATTAAAATTATTAGGATGTTTTTAAAAATATAAATTATAGTTAAAAAAAAATTGCTTAATTTAATTTAAATCAGCGGTTACCTTTTTGTATGTATTAATGTATATATCCAATTATACTAATTATATTTATACACTGTAATATTGTATTATATTTCATAAATAATAAAAAATAAATCATTTTATCATTAAGAATTGAATTTTGTAGTGTTTAGAATTATCTAATATTAATTTTGAATGATTATTTTACAAATTTTTAATTGTGAATGATTTAATTAATAAAATATATTGAAAGGTATTGAATGATAAAATACAATTAGAATTTGAAATAAAAAATGAGGTTGCTTCTACAGTTATTTATTGCTCTATCATTATTGTAAAATTTATTTTTTGTCCGATATTTAATTATTTATTATTTATTCCATACTATGCAATTCTAACTACCCTATGGGCACATGCCCAGGGCCCTCATAACTGGGGGTCTCGAATTATAGAAATTACAACTTTAAATTTTAATTTGTACCGTAATAATATAATATTCTATAAAAAAAAAATTCTAAATTTTAGAAAAAAAAAAAACAATTAAATGGCAATGTTAAAATGTTGAATAATGAATACTTAATTTAAGCAATTACATCAGGTATTTATTATTTATTATCCTATTACTTAAACCAATTTTTCTTTAAGATAAATAACCCATATTACCTGGTGATATAATATGATGGTCTATACCTACCCATATTATTAGAACTATTATTATCACTATTTCAATAACTGAAAATATTTTATTTTTGACTAAAAGAATAATAATAATTTAAATTATTTTTGATTTTTTTTTTCGCCTATATTGAATACAAAATATAAATGCTAAAAAGTACTAAATTAATTTTGAACCTGACTAAGTCCATAGATGTTTAGAATATAAATATATTTATGTACTAATCTTGATATTGAAAATAGAATATTTTTAAGTATCAGTGAAAAATTTATAAGATGTATACATCTAAGCAGTTAAAAAAATTTAAAAAAAAAAAAACAGCAACAATTATTCAGTTATTTTATTGCTTTCTATAAGTAAACTATAGCGCATTTTTTAAGAAAATACATAATAATGTAGTATTCAACTATTATTTTAATTAATTAATATTGTTTTATATGAAATACTAATTTTCTTTTACTCTTTTAATTCTAAATAATAAATATATACAAGTTAAATCAAATAATTATATCTAGTTTGTGTTATTTTAATAATTTTATAATGGTTGACATATTTTGTGGTAGGAAATGTATAAATAATGTTATTATAAAAAAAAAAAATATTGTAAATAATTTATTATTTATGCATAAAATCAATCAATTAATATATATATATATATATATATAATATGAAATATGTATTCAATGTCTAATAAAAATATTTAAATTTGAACTAATAAGATGTAGAATTTAGAATTAAAATAAATTAAAGGCTGTGGGATATTATTTATTAATATATTATGATTAAAAACAAATAATGAGCATAGCATTCTTATTTTTTAGAATATTCACAATACTATGATCCCACATCTATGGTTATGTCAGAAGAAATTACCACTCATAAAAATCAGAATGAAATGACTTCTGATATTTCAACAATTGCTGCAGATCTCACATTAACAGAATCAGAAAAGACCATATCAACGGAACCTAAATTTGGATTTTTTGATCGTCAAATGGCTGAATTAGAACCAAAGGTAATGTTGTTTGACATTGATGTACTCAAGATATTTTTTTGTGAGCTTCTAATTTTTAGTTTAAGAGTATATATTTTTCTTTTCTTTTTTTGTTGTTTAATTAACGGTAAAATAATAATTAAATATTGTAAATATATAGTAATATATATATTATAAATTAATCTGGCATTTTGAAATATCATTAGATTCCTGCTACTAATGAAAATAAATCACCTGCAAAAAAAGATGTTGACACTAAACGTGTGCAAAAAGAAAAGAATTCATGGCTTGGAGGATTAGCAAAATTATGGAAGCCTTCTAATAATGTTGATGTAATAGTTAATAATAAGTTAATAATATATAATTATTTTAATTTAATACTTAAAATATATTTACTATAGTCTATCAATGAAAATTTTGGAACTGAAGAAATAGCTCCGCAAGCACCTCCTATGGATTCAGAATTACAATTTAATCCAGTGGCTAATAGTTCCCCCGCCAATCAAAATCATAATCAATTTAAAATTCAACGTAAACGAGGTAATTAAAATATACATTAAAGTTGTTTACTTCAATTTATTGAAATTTTTGTTTTTATTATAAATGTATAGCTTTCTAGTTTTTTCATTATTAGCTTAGTAGTGAAACTCGAATTATTATTTTAGGAAAAGATATGTATGTTAATGTTATGAGTAGCAGCAAACCAACTGAAAATATATTAACACCAGATTCAATATTTCAGACAAATCATTCATCAACAAATTTTTATAATCCATCACAATAATAAATATTTATTTATGTTTAAAATTGAATAAAAACAATATTGATTTCAATATATCGGTACTATATTATAAATAAAAAATATAATGAAGTTGTATATTTTCATTTTTTTTTAAATTAATTTAGATTTATTAAATACGTTTACAGTATTTTATATATGTTTCAAATTCATAATTATTCCAATTATAATTGTAGACCCAAATTTGTATTACTTAGAACTTATAGAATGTTTAATATACTACTCATACATTTATATACAATTTATTTAATTTTTATAATGGATCTTAAATTTTATGTTTTTGAATTTTATGTTATGAAATATTATATATAAAAAAACTATATTATCATTTTTGTAAATTTATTGTTTGTTAAATAAGTTAAATTTATATTTTTATGGTTGGGATGTTAATGTAAATTTATGTTGTTTATATATATTTATTGTTTCTATTTTAGGGGATTTATAAAATAAAAAGTAATAATACAACCAAAACACAGTTGCTTTTATTTATATTCTTATGAGTTCATGTATGTCTGAAAAATGTTTATTTATCACTATACTCTTAAATATTTATTGATCATGTACCAAGGTTCAACTTTTGGAAATATTATTGATAAGTTTTATTAGAATTAAAATGTATTTATATGTATGATACATTGGATAAGTTCTATTGACTTTACCTATCATTTCACCGCTTATTATCATTGGTTTCCTCATCCCCTCAACTTTTTGGTATCTTCCTCCAAAGTCATACTCTATACCATGAGTCACCAAATGGCGGCCCGCGAATAAATTTTATATGGCCCACAGACGAAAAATAAAAACATATATTACGACAATATTCTATGTTTATAATATTTGCAATATTAATTATGTTCTTTATGTTTAAAAACAATAGCAAATAATAAATTAAATAAATAATTTTCTCATTACATCCAATTTTAAAATAATATCTATTGTCCTATGTATGTTGAAAATATGTACTTAGAATTTTAATGGTCCCCGAAAAATTTTCAGATTCCTAATGTTTAAACATATTGTATAGAGTCTATACACTCAGTTTTATATCAACTAATTCTCAATCCCTTTCCTTCAAGAGCTAACTCATCCAACCTATTATTAACTTCTTTAAGATTTTCTCTTATCAAAAGTATATCATCAACAAACATACACTATAGCAGTATTTCTTTAACTATTTGTTATCATGGAAGACCAAACAATAATATTTTTTTATGCGAAACCCCTATCAAAATTATCTTCAAAAAAAAGAGGTTATCACTAAACATGACAATAAATGGCAATATTAATAATACACCTAATATACTAAGTACAGGAAAATATAATACAATTATTTATTTAGAAGGTATTATAATACTCAAGTGTAATATAATATAACTTTTATTAGGATATAGTGTATAGTATATAGTATATAGGTACCTAATAATAAAAAATAATAAAATTATTTAATAATATTTGATTAAATTATATATTATTAAAATTAATACATGAATCATAAAGGGGTGAATGAGCTTGAATCTTACCAATATTTGTAAGATTTGTTAATGAAAGTCTTAGTGTTGGCGTCAAATTCAATCTATTTTGATACTTCCAAGTATCGAAATAGATTGAATTATAATACATTTTAACGCCACTCAGCACATACACTACAACGAACAACGGAAGACTACGTACTGATTAATACGATATTGATAATGTCGTCCTGCCGTACGTATTACCGTTGTTGTGTCCCAACAACGGCACAGTAGAAGGTTTAACTTATTACGAAGCACAACTATTCGTAGTTAATATTATTAACGTTTATTTAACTAAATATAATCAATATTACAAAAATTATTACATAAATAATTATAAAATATTTGAACATTAAAAAGAAGAGACGAGAGCTTAACCGACAATATTACACTCATTCATAAGAGTTGTCAATACAGATTGCAGTTCGACTGTCCATCGTCTTCCTACAATAGCCGGCACGCGACACAGACCGGAAGGTCTAGTCGTGATGGCCTACGGCATAGAAAAGAGATTAGATACATTAGATACCCGTTTACACATACATCGTGTATTATTCATACTTATAACACATAGATAATAATTTATTATTATCTTTATTATATATGTTATAACATGATTATTCTAACTGGGTCACCATTGGTCCACAACACCTCCCCTGCAAAATAGGGGTTCATCCCATAAGATGAAGCCTTCCAATCTATTTACAATCGGTCCAGGTGTATTTGTTAATAAAAGAAATATGCAATAGTTAATAGATATTGATATCACACAATAAAATATCAGTTCTATTTCAATATTATTAATACACATATATCATAATATTTTCTTTATCAATCATGAATATAATTATAAATATGTTATTAGTTACATTACAATAAATTTTCATATTAATTTTGTTTTAACAGAATGACAAATGATAAATAGTATTTGTTGAGTGTGGTCATTGTCAAGTTCATGTACGTCCTTATGACCCAGTTTTATCGTATTACACGTACGCATACACATATACATATACATACGTCATTAATCTTATATTTTTGTACATATACATTTTTTCTAAAAGAATTCATACATATTTAAACCTTTACGGGTCATTACTCTCAACAATTTATCAAAAATACATTTGGTTAGTTTTACGTCTGTTGTAAGATCATGTAGGTACGTAATGCCATGACTCTTAGAACAAATTATTTGATGGGCCTCACCTAGATTAAGAAGGTTCCCCCCTTTGTTCATGTAACCTATATTTTCAGATATTATTGTCTTGGTTGATATATCTTTTAACTGCAAATAAAACTCCTGATTATTATACTCGTCACTAGCGTTCAGTTCTAACATTTTGTAATGTCTTATAAGACTATAGTCCCATTCTTTCCATTATTTCTTTATCGGTACTATCACTCCAAAAGATTACAATGGTTTCTAATTTCCCTTTATTAAGATAATTTTTTATGTTTGGACACTTAGATTTCTATTGTTTGAGAACATGATCAATCCATAATGATCGAGCAAAGGGTGAAGTTTATCTGGTTTATTTTTAAATAACTAATACATCTATCCAAGGCTTTATCAATCATAATTAAGGTCATTATTATAACATGATGCAGTTTGTCAGGAGTAATGGACTTCCTTGCAATTTTATAATTCTATACCGGTCTAAACTGTTGGCCATTGCGCCCGATACTAGGACAATATCGGTCCTATTGCACATTGAAAACTCGAAATCTATTACAACGAACTTATATTGCCTTGCATTTCTGCCAAAGAATAAATGGAATCAATTATTTACACGAGTAGTTTTTTTTTTTTTTTGGGGTGATCAACCCTAAGGTTGGTTTTGCAGTTTTCCGAAATTTCTCCAATCATCTCTATTCTCAGCTAACCTCTTCAGCTCCTTATAGTTTGCTAGACCCGCATCGGAAATCATCCTTTTGATATATGACGTTCTTGGTCGTCCTCAATCTCTTTTTCCGTTCATCTTCCCTTCTATTATATTTATAGAAACTCTTCTTCGTGTCTTAAGACATGACCAATCATATTCTATCTTCTTTCTTTTATGTTGCTAAGTATCTTCCTGGTTTCATTTATTTCGTTTAAAACATTTTCATTAGTTCTTCTTTCTGTCCAGCTTACTCGCAACATTCTTCTCCAGCACCACATCTCAAAACTTTCGAGGAACTTTTATTCCGCTTTGTTCACTACCCATGATTCGCATCCGTAAAGTGCGACACTCCACACATATATTTTTATCAGTCGTTTTCTCATCTTATATTCATGTTTTTAGAGCACAGTAGGTTTCTTTTGTTCATGAATGCTGTCTTTGCTTGAGTGATCCTTGATTTTATTTCCATAGTACATTTTTCATCTTGGCTAATTATACTACCTAGATATCTAAAGCTTTCCTCTTGATCGAGAGTGTGATTCTCAATTTTAATTCTTAATCTATGAATACGATTCTTTTTTTTGACACATTATAACCTTGGTTTTATTCCAATTGATCTGTAGGTGATAATTATGGAAGCACCTTGCTATTTCTTCTAACGCTCTTTTGAGATCATTTTCGCTGCTTGCAACAAGAGCTATATCATCGGCGAATCTTAGAAATGATACCAATTCTCCTCCTACTATCACTCCAATTTTTTCTCTGGTGAGTGTTTCTTTAATTTCATTGATAGGTTTTTTTACATAAATATTGAATAATTTAGGTGACAGTGAACACCCTTGTTTTACCCCCTTTCCTATTTTGGCTGTAGCAAACTTGTCTGATACTTTTATAATAGCTGATTGCTCTTTGTATATGTTGTATATTAATCGTCCGTCTCTATAATCAATTCCTATTTCTTCTAGTGTCCTAAAAAGTTCTTTACAGGGAACTGTGTCAAATGCCTTCTCCAAGTCGATAAATGCCATAAATGTATCATTGTTAATTTCGATCTGTTTTTCAATTAATGTTCTTAAACTTAAAATCGCTTTTTTAGTTCCCTTGTTCCTTCTAAATCCGAATTAATCATTACTTAAATGCTTTTCAATTTTATGTTCTATCCGGTTACCTATTATTTTTACGAGGATTTTAGCCGAGTGTATCATCAAACTCAGAGTTCTATATTCATTACATTTTTTAGCCGTTGCTCTCTTGGGGAGAGTAATTATAATGTTTTTTTTTTTAAATCTTCTGGTATTTCTCCAGTTATATAGATATCATAAACCAAATTAAACAATTTGGTTTGAATTTTTGTATCTACATTTTGAATCAGTTCTGTTGATAATATTGTCTACGTCCGGGACTTTTCTAGTTTTCATTTTTTAAGGACTTGGTTTAATTCTTCTCTTAGGATTGGTGCGCCCTCATTATCTGGGTTATTTTCATTATTTATATTTATTGTTTCTTCACCCAGGTACAGAACCTCATGATATTGTTTCCATCTACTAGCGAAATGTCTTCGTTGTCTATTAGAAAATTTCCGTTTGTGTTTCTTATTTTGCTGTTAGATTTTGTTTTGCCACTGACAAATTTCTTTATTGCATTGAACGCGGTCCATTTTGTTTTCTTTTAGTAATAGTTCTATTTCATGACATTTATCTTCCAGCTATTTCTCCCTTGCTTCTTTTACATTTATGTTTATTTTGTTTTTAAGTTCTTTATATTTTCTTATTCCCTAGTTGTCTTTGGAGCTTTTGTACTTTCTTCTTTCTTCAATATCTCTTAGAATCTTTTCATTTATCCATGGTTTTTTGGGATTTGACGTATTCCCTATGAGAATCTTATTGGTTGCATTATGTATAGGTTCTTTGATTACTTCCCATCTTATAATTATTGAATCATTTTGTGAGAGTGCTTTGAATGTCTTACTGATACATGATTTATAGGCTACCGCTGTCTTATGATCTTTTACACATTTACGTCATATCTTCTTTCCTTTTGTGTAGACTTATTTAGTTTTTTATATGTAACATTGCTTTTCATTATTAAGAGGTTATGGTTGCTGTTCACATCGGCGCCTAGGTAAGTTTTACATCTCCGAACTTGATTTTTGAAGCGTTTTCTTACTAATATATAGTTGATTTGGTATCGTCCAATGTCTCCTGGCATTTTCCACGTACACCTTTTTTTCCGATGAACGTTTTGGTATATATTTGTTATGACCAAGTCATATTGTTTGCAGAAATTTACAAGTCGTTCTCACCTTTCGTTTCTAGTGCCCAATCCATATGCTCCTACTACTTGCCCATCAGCACCTTCACCCCTATTCCCTAATCCCCTATTGTTATTAAGTTGTCAGTTCCTTTCACTAATTTACAGAGTTCTTCGAGTCCTGCGTGCATTTCTTCTATCTCGTTGTCCTCTGCTTCAGTTGTTGGGAAGTAAGCTTGAATTACTACAATATCTCTGGGTTCAGCTTTAAATTTAACCATTATAAGTCTGTTATTGTACGCTATCTTATTTATCACTTGTTGACTCTATTTTTTGTTTATTATAACTCCAACTCCGGCTCTTCCTGTTCTTTCATCTCCAAAGTAAATAACACGGTAATCATCAGACCAGAAATCTCCATTTCCTGCCCATCATGTTTCGCTCAAACCTAATATATCTACGTCTAACCTTGTCATTTCAACTTTAATATTTTCTAGCTTTCTATTTAACATAGTTCTCACGTTACAAGTTCCGATGTTTTGTCAAGGTTTTCGCTTTCTTATTCTCCTGCCAAGACAACTGATATTTCCGACTATATCTGGTCTAGTAACTTCCATCTCTTCATAACTTTGGTTCATACTGCTTACTAGGAATTCTAATGTGATGGTATCCTTCTCCTTCCACATCGCAGTTGACAGGTCAGTATTTGAAATATGCCCAAACTGCCTCTGTCAATCCTTTTATTGCCGTTAGTTCTGCTGCAAAACTCGCTAATGGTCGGTAGTAGCGGTTACTGCTGCCCTCCGCTCTGCGAAAATCGCCGGTCTCTTCGTTCGTGTGCGTTGTCGATGTCACAACATTTTCGTGTGGCGTCAATTCCGGTTTTCGTTACGTATGGACGTATTTTTCATTATTATTACTTTTGCCGTATCGCCAGCATTTTTATTTATTGGTCTGCCGACTTCGTGAGTTGCGATCGTGTGGTACGGACCTGTGAGTCGTTATTTGGTTATTTCTTTGTGATTTATCTACTTCGTGTTCGTCGTTCGTCCGTGACTCCCAACGTGATCGCTTCCGACTCCTTTTTCAAGACGTTTTGAGTGCGGTTTGGATTATGTCCACAACGGTCGACGTAGTTGTTCTCGGTTCTTTTTCAACGTCGTACTAGCCGCCAAGTGACACCGTCGTGTTTTGCTCTCCGGACCTTCTGCCGCTGGAGAACGTTTCAGATCCACCTCTCCTAAAAGAAAATAATACTTTAGCAGTAACCGACACTAAAAAATCTATCTTGTTCGGTGAGCACTTAGAATTCACATTTAAAACTATCAATATTCTAGACCTGATCCTAGTCGTACTGATAAAGTCAACAACTTTCTTTCGTCTCCTCTACCCATGTCCCTTCCCACCAAACCAATATCTCCAGGTGAAATCAAAAGTATTATTATAAGTCTTCCGATCAGTAAAGCTCCAGGTTATGATCATATCACCAACAAAGTTTTAAAAAATCTCTCAAAGAAAGGGATATTATTATTAATATTTATTTATAATTCCATGCTGCGTTTATCATTCTTCCCTGCCATCTGGAAAATTGCTGTTGTAATTCTCTTTCCGAAAATCGGTAAACTCAAAAACCTGGCTACATCATATAGACCCATTAGCTTGCTGCCCACCTCAGTCAAACTCTTTGAAAAATGTCTCATCAAGAGAATCAGACCCATCTTATCCGAGTATAATATTATACCTAATACTCAATTTGGTTTTCGATCCAAAAATTCGACTTTACATCAAGTTCACCGTCTAACTGACATGATAGCCTCTGCATTCGAAAATAAAAAATACTGTACAGGTATTTTCCTCGACGTCGCACAAGCGTTTGACAAAGTATGGCATAATGGGCTGCTGTTCAAATTAAAACAATTCATGCCAGCACCACTATACCTTATCCTTAAATCATATTTAGAACACGAAAAATTCAAGGTTAGACACGACAATGCTTTCTCACCACTGTTCGATATTGAAGCAGGTGTCTCTCTAGGTAGAGACCTTTCAATCGACTTTTATAACATCTTTACCATGGACATCCCTAAAACCGACAACACCCTACTTGCTACATTTGCCGATGATACTGCTATCCTATCAAGTAATGATGATATAACTATAGCTGCACAACACCTTCAAGAACATTTAAATCTTATAAATAACTGGGCCAATAACTGGATGATTAGTATTAATGAAAGCAAATCTTCCCAAGTCACTTTCGCTCTACGCCCCGGCATTTGCCCTACCATTAAACTCAAAAATAAAATCATACCTATCTCGAATGAGACAAAGTATCCAGGAATAATTTTAGACAAACGCCTAACTTGGAAATCCCATCTCCAAAACAAAAGGAAACTTACCAACATTAGACTCCATCTTTTCCGACCCCTCCTTAAATCTAAACTTAATCTAAAAACCAAAATGATATATAATTCAATGACCAGACCTATCTGGTCATATGGTATTCAAATATGGGGAATGGCTAAGTCTCAAACATTCGCCCCATCCAATCTTTCCAAAATATTTCCCTACGCACTATTACCCATGGTACATGACAAACCTTTCACTTCACAATGACCTCAAAGTAATTAATGTCACAGATTATGCAAAAATTCACTACCACCGTTTCCATTCCAAACTCAACTCCAGTACTAATCCTCTCATTAGAGACATGGTATTACTGTATATCCCAGGTAACCCCGTGTAGGTTTAAACGTAATTGGAATCCCGATCTAATTTAGTAAGATCGTAAATCCAGCTAAAAGTTCGTAGGTGTCACCAATGGGTGACTTCCTTAAAAGCTGTTTTTTTTAATATTATGCTATGTTTTTTATTATATCTAAATTACTAAATGTGCTGTTTGTACAGATTGCTTTAAAATAAAGAAAAAAAACATTTGAGTTTTGTGGAACCCCAGGGTTTCGCGGAACATGGTTTAAGAAACACTGCACTATGGTACCTTGCCCTGTATGTTTTTACCTGTATGTATTTTTTATAATTTTAATTATTTCTATTATTTATTTAGGTAAAAAATGTCTAATAACTATCTAATAAATTGTTCAATATTTAGTCCATCATTCTCCATGCATGATTGAAGTCCACGAATCACTTATCTTTGAGTAGCTGCTAATATTTTTTCCTTTAAAAGTTCTGCACAAGCATTTACGATTTTATTTCTAAAATCTTGAATAGTTTAAGGTGGAGTTGAATACACTACTTTCTTCAAATGTTCCCACAGAAAAAATCTAATAGCGTGAGATCTGGAGATCTTGGTGGTCAAGCTACTGCTCCGTATGTACCCATCCATCGATTGCCAAATTTATTTTGTAAATACTCTCTTACAACAATTGCATTATGTGCAGATGCTCCATCTTGTTGAAAAAATACATTATTTCCAATCTTTAATGGAATATCGTCCATGTATGAAGGTAAAACATCGGTTAAAAACTCCAAGTATCCTCTGCCAGTAAGTGTACCGTCGTAAAAATACGGGCCGAGAAGTCTCCCATTGAGTAGTCCACACCAAACGTTACTTCTCCAAACTGTTTGGTGATTTGTATCAGTCGTCCAATATGGATTGTGATCAGCCCAATACCGGTTATTTTGTTTATTAATTATACCGTTGTTGGTAAACTTAAATTCATCAGTCCAATAGATAAATCATAAAAAATCGAGATCGTCGTGTAATTGCATCACATAAACCATGCAATAAATATAAGTCTACGATTAGAAATACCTGGTACCAACTTTTATACTAAATCAGGCCTATACGGGTGTAGTTTATTTTTTTTCAAAATCGTATGAACTTTTTTAATAAATATTCCAATTTCGTTGCTTAAATGTCTATTGAAAATTGAGGGTTTAATTGAACATATGCTAATATGTTCCAAGAAGCATTGGAGCATTGACCCGTTCCTTTTGTAAAGGATTAAGTCTAAAGAAATATATAGAAAACTGTTTTTTATTTTTATCCAATCAAACTGTACAGCTCCCTAAATGTTACATAAGAATAGATATCGCACATATGATGAAAATATTTTGTCGTATAAAATGTTTAATTGGACAAAAGAGAAAACATCTTAAAGAGTTTTAGGTAAGATGTTTAAGATTACTTATGGAGGCTAAAAACCTAAACGATTTCAAAATAATTTTAACAAATTTACTAACCGTTATACTTAGTGAAACAGATGGGTGGATTGGCTATGACAATAGTACGAAAACCTTTTCAGAAGCAGGCAGGGAGTTTCTTATTAGTCTTATGAAAGGATCTTGCACGGATGAAATTCTAAATTCTGAATTAATTGTTTCAATTGAACCAGAAAATGAAAATGAAAGTGAAAATCTTGAAGAATTAGAAGAAAATTAAAAAGGCTTAGGTCAATTAGAAATATTTTTGCAAAATATTTTTAGCAAATCAAAAGAAAATGCTAAACAAAAAGGGAATAGAATATCTGCATACTATCTTCCTGAATTGTCAAGTGATGTTATGCGCTTATGCAAAGAGTTTCCATTATGGACATCAATCATGCAAAATCACTTTCAATCACCTTTTAGTATTGCTACATCTGCATCAGTAGAAGGAGATTTCAAGCAATTAAAATGTACTATACTTTACCACGAGAGAAAACCAATGACTGCAGATAGGTTAGTCATTCATCATTTAAACAGCATTGATTCTAACTCGAAACTATTCTGAAGTTCATAATTAAGAAACGCTGCTCATATAAAACAAATATCTGAAAAATTTAATAAACCAAATATATGTAATACATCCAGTGACTTACCTAAAAACCCTTTAACTAAAATGGCTATTGATGAATCGTATTTAAATATCATCAACGAAGACGTAGAGACTAAGGATAAAACATTACCAAATTCAATTGAATGTGACACGTCAGATTCTGCTATATCTTTTCGTTCATCATTGTCATCGATTTCCTTCAATTTTGACGTGATTATATCAAAAGAACTAAATAAATCAAATACTTCCTTAGACACATTAAATGAAAATGAGAACTGGCGTGGACTTGGGAAGGAAATTCATGTAATTGATACTATTAATGATAAACCAAAAAGATCTAGACCAACAAAATATATGCAGTCAAATAAAAATATAGAAAATGTATTAAATAGACGTAATATGAGATCTAGCCTCAATACTTTATTGATAAATGGTAATAATTCTTCAATCATTATGGATAAAAAACAAAAATACCTTGTACAAAACACATGTGCGTACGATTCAGTGGCTGTTATTATTTCTACAGCATATATAGACAATCCTAATTATAAAATGTTTATTGACTCAAATGAGGACACATTTTTTAAATTTTGCAAGACACTTGCAACTAACGGGACAGTAAAAATATTAAACAAGGGCCGTTTCAATATTTTAAAATCTATTTTTTCTGAGGACACTACATTATCAGGAATTAAAAGAATAAATACTCAATGCAATGTAACATACATTATAAGAGAATTATTTAAAAAAATTCCATCAGCTATTGATTATACTAAATGCACTAATACATCATGTAAAAACACTAAACTTCGAACAATTGTGTTGAATCACCAAGCTTTAATAAATATCAACCGTTTAGAAGAGGCTTTAAATGATTATGTTAACAAAATAAATTATACTTGTTCTCAACCTCACTGCGATGGAGAAGTTACACAAAACAAAATTCTACAACAACATTTATTCATTGAAGCTGATCAGGTTGAAGACTTATGTTTATTTGAAATGACCGATTTTCCAAAAACGGTGACGATCAAAAATGAAATGTAAGATTTAAATTTATTGCTGCATAATTATTTCATCTTAAATTATAATTATTTTTTATTGTTCAATAGATTTATTTTTAATGGAATTGTAGACTATAGTAATGGGCATTATGTGAGTTACATTCGACGTTCAAATGGACAATGGGAAAAGCACAACGACTTGGCAAAAAAAATTCTTAACTATAACTCCCCGATAAAACATAAAGTTTCTCCTCATTTAATTATTTATACTAAATTGTAATTGCTAATTTAATTTAATATTTCGCTATAATATCTATTTTAATTAATGTGTCATAAGGCTGCACAATTTTTATTTAATTTAATATTTTTAGTTTTTATATTTTAAGGTATGAGGTAATATTTGTTTTTATTTATGTTTACACTAATAAGCAGTTTGTATATTAAATTAATTTTCTAGTACAAGATGTAATAATATTAATAGTTTTAGTATTCAATAAATATTTAAATTGAATTGAAAGTGCCGGTTCAGAATTTTAAAAATGAATTAAAATACTTTATTTATAACTAATAAACTAAAAGTAATTAATAGCTTACAAGGTTACCTTTTCGTTACTGTAATAAAATAACTCAACTTTTCAATAGGAAAAATAAACGCAATTTTTCACATAACTTAAAAAATATATATATATACATAAGTAATAAAAAAATTGACTATAAATATCCGATATCTCAGGTTCCTTGGAATTCAGAAAATATACTATATTAGGTTAATAATATCACAAGTTCGACTCGTTACTAATATTAAACTATACACATGATGTAATCCTACCCATAACAATAATAATATGTATAAACATTTGATTTTGATTTTCCATGTTCTCTGAGAATTTACAAATTCCAAAATTGCATTTACAATTATTTACAATTAATTTACAATTATTCGGATTAGTTTGAAACCGATAGGATAAAGTGGGGGAGGGGGGCTGCGTGAAGTTAGCCCCCCATTTTGATTTTGATTTTGTGACTTTCTTGGGGATTTACAAATTCCAGAACTGCATTTACAATTATTTACAATTAATTTACAATTATTTGGAATTAGTTTGAAACCGATAGGACAAAGTGGGGGGGCCAACTTCACCTACGTCTGCTCACTAGCCACAGGGAGTCACTTTTAATACAGAGTTAAAGGCACTAGACTGTGTTATTGTTAATACTAGTCGTGACCGACTGGACTTCTGTACAGTTTAACTTTATATTTATCTACATAATTACAGTGTGTTTGTCTAAATTAATAAATAAAGTCATCTAAACTTGTCATAATATATTTTTCGAAGTGTTGTTTTCTTCTTCTCCATCACTACCCATCGTAATCCCTTTTGGGTGCACGACACTTGGCATTTTTAAATTTGAATGAAATACGTACATTACATACGAGTTTAAAACTTATAATGACATTCAATAAGTACATTTAAACAAATGTTATAATTTATCAGTTAAAATAAATTATTATTGTAATATTTATAAGAACTTAAAGATAATATTATTCTTAGCACACGATAAATAAATTTAGTTTATTTTAGTAAAGGCTACAAATAAAATAATCAAAGAGATTACAAGTAATTACCCACATCTATCACGAAAAATAACAATAAATGATAAAATTAATAATTTAAATTGAAACTTTAATAATAGAAGATTTCAAATTTCATAATAATTCATAAAATTCTAGTATGATTGTTGAAAAATTCAATAATTTTAAGCGAAACTTTTACTCATTGTCATTTGGTTAATTTTGATTTTAGAGCTATGGTAAAAAGGACCAAATTATCTTAAAAAGATTCGGTCTATCTGAAGTTGGCATTCAAAAAACTTATTGCCATTTAAAAAAATGCAAGTTGTATAGCGCATGCGCACACTGAAAGATCCAAAAATGTAAAAATTATCAAGAAATGTGTATTCTATGTATTCCCTATTTTTTTCTGAAAATCGCATATAAATCTGATGTCACTGGACAGAATTATTTAATGTTATCTTTAAAAAGAAACTGTATTTAGGTACCTATTAGTGCTCTGCATGGTCCGTAATTTTAAGGGCCGGACCGGACTGAAAATTTAAAAAAAGGACCGAACCGATTGCTACATATAATTTTAGATCGGACCGGACTGAAAATTTAAAATAATTTGTTATAGTGGATCGAGACCAGGTTACGGACCTATTTTTTTTCTACCGTACAAGACCAAGTATAACATAATATGATTGAGCGGACAAACGGTCCAAACTAAAAAAATACTGCACCATGAAAATAGACTATAGTAAATTTATATTTTAGTATAGGTATATTAGGTATATATATACTACATTATTATATACGTATAGTGTACGCGCCTTAAGAAAATTAACAAATTTCATAGTTTAGGATGATCTAACTTTTTGTAGTTGGTAGGCCAATTTACATTTTCATAAATATACTAAGGGCCGAAAAAAAAGTGATATTATTATCCAATAAAACCTGCAGTCAATAATCGCCGCCTAATAATGACTTCCACGACATCTACATATATACGTAGTGAGTTGAATTCAATCATGATTTTTGATGTAACTTATCGCACGTATACCTACATTTTATAGTAAAAAACATAAATAATATACAATCATATAGATAATGATTTTCAGTGGCATAGCCAAGGGGGGGGGCTAAGGGGGCTATAGCCCCCACATGGGCCGTGTTTATATGTATAATGTATCTTGACTATTTAATAGAATCAATGGATGCTCGTTTTAATCAAAGGCTTATTGATGTTATGCCACTTGAAGGACTTATTCCGGCTAATTTAAATATGTATGACGATAAAAATATTATAAAAGCTGCTAAAATATATGTCCAAGATCTCCATGATGATACCTCATCTACAATCAGAGCAGACCTGTTCATATGGAGGCAACAATGGAGTCAAAATATTATCCCAACACCGAATTCTGCTCTTGATTCACTCTCACATCGCACCAATCTTCGACCTAACATTAAAATACTTTTACAATTATTCGCCACGTTACCAGTTACCTCTTTCACTCCGGAAAGAACGTTTTCAGTACTTAATCGCTTAAAATTTTTTTTAAGAAGCACCATGTCGGAAAACAGACTGAATGGGTTAGCTATGGCTAATATAAATAAAAAAGAGCAATTCGATGAAAGTGAAATAATAACTGAATTTGGCAGAAATTCGCCTAAGAGGATGCAGCTGTCAGAGTGGAGCAAGTGACTGAACACTGAAACCAAAATTATTATTATTATTATAAATTATATATTAATAAATATTTTTAAAACTATACTAAAATGCTTGAATTACGTTCAGAAACTTGGTGGTAGATGGTGGGGGGAGGTTAAGGATGAATTCTCATATCCTCTCTTACCTTACTTATCCAAAAAAGTGGTTAGCCCCCCCATTTAAAAATCCTGGCTACGCCACTGATAATTTTGTTTTAATATTATTGTGAATTTTTTTTTTTTAATTCAAGTCTTTTATGGAGGAAGGACAAAAAAAATTTTCGATGGCTGCATGTGGTCCAAGGTCCGCGGGTTGGAAACCCTGTCACAGTTTTTGATAAATATTTGATTATTTTGTTGACTGTCCTACTATTTTATCCCTTAATTTCAATCACGAGTTTCTGTGTTCTATATTCCCCAATACAAAAGTAATTATATGAAAAATGAAACATTAAGACATATATTGTCCATCGCCAATGAGGTCCCTCCTTCTTACTCTAACAACTTTCATTGTTTACTACCTTAAATCTTTTCATTTTTTGTTATTTTATTTATAAGTATTATTATTGTTATTATAATAATTATTTTATAATACCTTAAATCCTTTATGTTTTTCATTTCTTTGTTGCTATTTTTTTTAATCATTATAATTATTATTCTTATTAAATTGTATTTCTTAATCCTTACTTGAAGTCAAATGTAATACATATTGTATTCAAAGGGCACCACCCATTAATTATTATTAAAAAAAAAAAATAAATAAATTTGATATAATAATTTTTCCCTGTAATAAAATGGAATAGTTTCATTACAATTTGAATTGGAGAGATTTGTACATTTGTAAATAATTATTTTTATCAAGTTACCAATAAAATATATATTAAAAATCAATAAATGGTAAAAAATATAAACATATATTTTAAATTAATCAAACATTTATCATATAAAATATAATATATGACTGTAAAAATCCATTTTTATACTATAAACAGGTATATATAAATAATAAAAATTAGTTAAGAAAGTTATTAAAGTAAATAACAAAACATAGAGTGTAATTCATAAAATGGCAATCTGTGAACTGTTTCACTTCATTAAATATTGATGAATTAAAATTAGTAAGTAAATAAATATTTAGTCTAAACTTATTTCTACTTGATTTCATATATTTATAAAATCTATAAATATTATTTAAAAGTTATTAAACAATATAGTTATTAACTTTTAAAGTTCCAAACTAAGCAATGAGTTCTTTTTTATAATAACCATTATTAACCCTGGAGATTCTGGTTCTAAGTACCTGAAAAACAAGTTTGTTAGTTTAAGAAAGTTTAAAGGTTATTAAAATATAAAATTCAATAAACTTACATTAATCGTCTTATTTCAAGTCTTTGTATTACAACTGGTTTGATGCGGGCTATACCTTTAGGACTATGTTTTCCACGACCTGTTATAATTGTCAACTGTCTACCTCGACTGTATATTTCATTGAGTTTTTTCAAATAAGATATATGTTTATCCAAGTATATGTCCAATGCTAATATAGCATCTTTAACCTAATAAAATATATGATTTAAACAGTCATTTAATTCAAAAATTTAAAGTATTATTATTACAGGGAAATGATGGAGATCTAAAGTAGTACTTTCATTTTGCTTAATCATGTTGACTAATTCTTGATTTTTTGCATGTTTTTCATTTTGTTTGGATTCTTCTGCCTAAATAATAAATAAATACAATTATATTTTATTAATGTACTACACATCATAATTTGATTTAAATAATTTAAAATATATTATTACTCTTTTTAAATAATATGCAGTCACTGCAGGATGTATTTTTGAGCTTAATGATTGATTAGCTTTATTTAAAAACTGTTGTCTTGAGTGTGCATGTTTTAAAGCTTCTTGTTCATAATTTTGAACAATAGGCTGGACTTTATTGATATAATTATCTTCATTTTCCTAAAAGTACAGAAATTATAAGAAATTGGAAAAAAGTCAAAAGATGAGTAATCAGACCAGGAATCAAATCTATAGCTATCCTGGAATAAGTTCTCCCATTAAACTACCTGATAACATTGTCTTTATTTCTTTAATTTGATTATCCAATTAGCAGTTATAAAAATTCATAAAAGTATATTGTTGTATTATGTTAAAATAGGAAATATAATACTATAAGTTTAAATTATAATGAATCAATAAATAAAATTTAATTACTATGTTGGGAGAGTCTTGATTTGATAAACATCTTCTTCCAGATAACTCAGTTAATATGTTACACGATTCCTGTAAAAATAAATTTCAAAAATGTGCAATAGAATAATAAGCATATATTTACTTCAAATTTATAACCATTGGAATGCAAAACATCCATAATAAGTTTAGAATCAAAATGTTTGAATTTTTCCAATAATAATTGTTTTGATAAAACTGCAGCAAAAGAAAGTCCTCCCTGTCAAAAAATAAAATTTTAATTGATGACTAATGTCGGATTTTATGATTTTACATATGGGTTTTAAGTATATGCATTTAAATGAAAGTGAGATATCTTTACAATTCTTGAAACACAAAATTCAAAGAAAAAAATTTATTTTCTATAGAAAAACATATTTCAAGGGTTTGGAAATATTAATACATTAGAGAATATTTGAAAATATTTTTTGAAGAAAAAACATTTTGATAATATTGATCAACAAATACAATATTCACTCTGTTAGTTATTTTTATATTCTCCTAGGTTTTTATAAAAAGAAATCATTAAATAATATTAGGATTAATCCACGTAAGGGTAAAATTGGCATTAAATCAGATATTTTTTTTTCAAAAATGTTTTTGTACATCAAATCAGTAATACTAAATAAAAGATAAATTTAAACCAAGTATTTATAATTTTTTTTTTTTAACTGATCTCTACTAATTACTAATGATATGAAGGTCTAAATTTTAAGTTAAACAAGCCCTTTTTTCTTGAATCATCACATAACTATACTTACAGAATTAGAATTACTAGATGTTGATTTTTTATACTCTTCTTGCAACGTTTTGGCCAAAGTTTCATCTAATGATAACACAATATAAAAAAATATATAACCAGTGTTGAGCATTATCTAAATAAATAATTAATTATCTTACCTAGATAGTAAACAAAATTATTTATTTTATGAATCATCTTAGATTCATAGAAATGACAGTCGGTATTTTTACGTAGAACGTCGTGACAAGGATACCCATAACTATTATTAAAAGGGAATGTGAAGGTGGTTCCGTCATCCACTCAAATGAGTAGCCCTTATACCGATGATCAACAGCAGAGGGGTTCATTCATGAAACTGTTAATTATCAAGAAAATTATGTTCACCCCTTAACAGGTGCGCACACACGGGGTGTTGAAAGGTTATGGTTGGATGTAAAAATATCCATATTAAAAAAAAAAGAGGGGCATACCTATCTATATGCTTCAATCACTTTTAGATATGTATGGTTGGAAGGTGTGGCAGAATAGTGAACCAGATTTGTTCACTGCTTTTTTAAATGATATGCGACATTCATAAATAGCGACTAACTTTTATTTTTTATATTTTATTATTATTATTATTTTATATTATGTGGATGTGATTTTGAAATTGTGAGTTTTAAAACGAAACTTTTATTTGAAATATTCATTTAACAAAACTTATATTATGTGGATGTGATTTTTAAATTGTGATTTTTGAAATACGTGTGAGCCCACTTCCTCGTGGTGTATTTTGAATAATGCTAAGCGACTCACAAATCACGTTCGCCAAAAACAGGCTGGTAGATCGCACGCTACACTGGCACCCACAAATGTTATAATATAAAAATTTTTTTGTTCATTATTTATATTGAAATACCTATTAGATCAAAGTTTTTTTTTAATATTAATTTAATTTAATTTTTAAGTATAAATTTATATAAACTAATTAATGAAATAAATAATATATCTTTTTTTTATTCGGATAAATAATGTTTTATCTTTTATCTTTATCTAGATACATTTTTATTTATCTTTACACAACATTAAATATAACTAAATTATTAAAAATATAATTCAGTAAATAATAGTTTCTCCACCATTCTTTAGATTCTTAACAAAGCAAGGTAACTTATTTTTACTTAAAAAATTAATGTACCACTATAAAAATAGTAAAAAGGTTCAAAATTATTAAATAGGACTTTTATAAAAATTAAATACAGATAATATTTCAAATAGGTAATTTTTCAATTGTTTTTAAGAAAACAACAAAAATAATAATAGTAAATGAACTACCATTTCTAAATTATTTATAGAATTTAAATTTAAAATGTTGCATTTCAATTTAAACTTTCCATCAAGATTAATGAAGCTGAAATCTTATGTAAGATTGGATTTATATATATGTCGTAGCCATATAGTCAAATCATACTGACTATAGGGTATACAATATACCCGTACTATCATCTACGTCTATCACATTGAATTAGTTATTACCTGTAAATATTTATGATTCAATTTTTAAAATAAGAGTAATAATGAACATGAAATTAAACATATTATTTCATATACCAACATGATTTACAAATTAATAAATAATACATAGCTTTTTTATATATAAAATAGCAATAAATAACTGATAGAAAATATATTTAAATTTTTAAAATAATACAAAATGTTTTTTTTATTATTTGCCTGACATGAAAGAGGCATTTAATCATATTCCTAATTGATATATCAATATTCACATTTAATTAAATGACTAGGCATTAAACTTTATTTGATTTGACTATATGCCTACAACATATATATCAATATAATCATTTATATTTCTACTATTTTAACAGACAATTTAATTTAATAGAGTACAATATCAATATTTTTATAAGTTCTTATAATTTAAATATTTCAAATAAATAAATATTTGAAGATGAAACCATAATCAGAAAATAATTCACAAAAGAAATTGTAAATATTTTTTTCAGTTAAGAAACAAAAGAATATGTAACTTTATAGCATTTCAATTAATAATAATTCATCATGATTATAAGCAAGTTTTATATAAAAACTAATAAGTATTAATAATAATAAGAAATTTAATCAAAATTTCTTTACCTCCACTAGAAAAAATTTAAAGTTAAATAAAGAAAAAACATTTTTTATAGGGTTAAAAAGGATATTTATTCAACATTATACTTACCTTTATACAAGTTAAATAAATTAGCAATACATAATTTTTGAAAATAAACTGCTTTATATTATTTAAATAATAACCATTACTTACCTTTTAATATAGCTTCTTGCTCACAAATATCTGTAGGTACATTTGCAATCAAACAGTAATAAAGATCTTCTGCTAACTTTTCAGGTAATCTTACAGACATTGGTAATGCGGTTTTACCTGAATTCAAAAAATAACATGTTAAAAAAAAAATCGATCATTATCTATAAAAAAAACAATAAGGTAATTAAGAAAATTGAAATAGCTTCTTATGATTTGTGGGACTTACTAAGATCAGAAGAAAAATCACCAAAGTAGTCACATAATTGAGCCAGTACAGAAGTATCTATAACCAACTGAACAAACTTTTCTTTGGGATCATTTTCTGCTTTTGAATCTTTTTTAATACCATCAGATGTTGATGGTATAACTAAATTGTAATTTATCGGTGTATTATGAATTTCTTTCAATTTTTTTATATTTAATACATGGTCAGAATATAATGAATCATCAAATGTAAATTTATTTTCAATATTTTTTCTGAGATCAATACTAAAACTAGGATGAGTTGTGTGAAATTTTTTGCCTTTTGTGTCCATTACTTTTTTTCCCTGCTTTTTTTTTTTACCAAAAGTATCTTCATTATATTTTAGAGTGTTTGATTTAGAATTTGGAAAGATGATAGACAAATCATTATCTTGTTTATTTGGTCTTATTTTTTCAATAGTATTTTGAACTTGAATATTTTCAGCTAAATTATTTTCTTCAATCTGAATGACATTTTGTAGCTGTTCTTTTGAAATATTATGTCCTAACTCGAATAACATATCCAAAATCCAATCAATATTTCCTTCACATTTATCAAACAATTCAATTATTAATGAACAAACATTTTCCGGAAACTGCTTACGAATTTCACTTATATTTGGTTTATGGATGATTCCTATGAGCTCATCATTAGTTATAGTACCTTTATCTAATTTTCCACAAAATGTACCTGAAATACTATGATTTCCATCATTAATATTTCTATTTCTGCCAAAAATAACATAACTGCTGTATTCTTCTTCGGGTATTTCATTTAAAACTTCCATAAATAAGAAATCATTTTCATATGTATTGACTGATTTATTGGTAAAGTTAGATGCTTCTTCAAAGGGGGATGTAGAAAAGCAATCTTCATTTATATCAGATATATCATTTGATAGATTTTCAAGATCATTTACTAAAAAAAGTACTGGTTCTTCTTTTTTTTGTATCATATTAGTAATCCAAGGATCTTCATCAATATTATTAAATGAAGTACACGGGTTTTCATTTTTATAATTATTTTGTTTCTGTGATATACATAAATTATTAAAGTGTTCATAATTTGCAATTATGGGTTCAATAATTTTTTTTTTTTCATCTAAAAGATTTTCATGAAGCTGGTACTTTTTTATATTATTTGATAATTGCGGAGGTTGATTATTTTTGCTATACTTTAATTTAAATCTAGTTAGAAAATTTTCAGTATTGATATAATGATCATATCGACGTATAGAATTCATAATATATTCTAAAGGAACATAATGAATATTTCTTTTGGCTAACTCTGATCCTTCCCATGCCCATTCAGAAATGGGCTCCAGAATTTCAATCCAATAACCATTGTTTACACCCATTTTAATACTATTTTCCATTTCCCAAGCTTCAATATGGGTATTGTCAATAATTATAGGAGTAACTTCATTTAAAACTGCTTTTTTTGTATTTTCAAGAGCCCATTGATGGGCTTGTCTTATTTTGGAAGGAATATAATTATATCCACCCGATTGTTTATTTATAAAAAACTTATCTGCACTGAATATAAATTCATCAACATTAGCATTTTTATAGCACATATTTAAAATATTAGTGGCTTGATAAGATTTCCCACTACCTGGACATCCTCTCATCAATACCATAACTTTAAAGCCTTTCGATACTAAATATAATATCCGATTAGTTGGCGATTCATTTTTTGATAAACGTTCCCAGTTAATAATATTAGGACTATTTAAATCAGAAGTGGCAGCTAATACGTCTTCATTGGATGACAATTGTAAATTTGTTTCAGAATTCGGAATTTTGGTAATTTCCATAAGGTCACGATATGCCAATAACACTAATAAAAAAACAAATATAAGGATTAGGATTTTTATTTATATTTGATATTGTACCTGATAGTTTAAAGTTTTATCACTACCGAAAACCAAGAACAATTAGAAACAATAATATCTAATTTATGTGTTTTTATATTATATTATTATACAATAATGTATTTTATATCATATAATAATATTTTTAAATCATATAATAATTATACTATTATTAATATGGTATGTCAAAGTTGTAACAAAGTAAAAACTTTAACCTAACGATCATATTTTAATTTTCATTATTTACTTAAATAAATACTTGAAAATGAACATACAATTATTGCGGTTATCAATCATCATTTCAATAACATCAATATCAACATGACCAGAAAAAAGTTTCAATAAATCCTCTTTGGAATTCATACAACTCCAGCTTATTTTTGATTCATTTGACATCTAAAAACATAATACATAATTTAAAAACACTTATTTACAAAACTAGGTAGTTTCATTATTTGGTACCTCTAAATTGGTTTTTAACTATTTGGACCGATAATATATAAGTTAAATAATCCACAATACTTTGGTTCAGAAATAATCATCAAAAATGTGAATATGCAAATAAAATTAAAGGGCAAAAAATATTGTAATTATAATAAAAGGTCATAAATATATAGAATATCAAATCAAAATTATTGACTTATGGATAACTTTACTGTTTTTGATACTGATTAAGGGATACTCTTTAGTATTCGATTATACGTTTGAATTTAGGACTATGACATAGTGTACTTTCTAAATCCAGTTTATCAGTTTTATGATAAACTTGATAAACCCGCTCTCGCAACATGTGTCTTAAATGCGTATCACATTTAAACATCGTTACATATATAATCAATGCTCGATTTGGTGGTGGCAGTGGATAGGGAAGGGTGACCAGACGTCCTCTTTTTTTGGACGTCCTCGTTTGTCCGTCCTCTTTTAAATAAAAAGTCAAAATGTTTTCTTTTTAACATGTATTTTGTATTCAGTTGTAAAAATTATGATTTTGTATTTCTAAAAAATGAATTTATAGATGTGATAATTTGTGATAATATTTAGAAGAACTTTCTTTAAATTATTATTATTATTATCACAGTACAATTATTATTAGAACTACGGAATACGAATATGCTATAAAATATATAAACATTTTGAAATTGAGCAAATTGACTTTCCTAATACAATGATAAGACTAAAACAAGATAATTAATAATAATTCCATATTTTATAATAATTTATTAACCAAAACTTTTTAAAAATAATAACTTATAGTTGTATTCAGGGATTGTAACCTTTATGTTTTTTCTGGTTTCGATTTCGGTTAGGTTTTTCAGAAAAAAATTCCCGAGGTTTCGGTTTAAATCATAAATCTTAAAAATATGAAACTGATGTTACGGTTACGGCTGCAGTTATAACCTGTTATCAAAAAATATTTTTTAATTAGAATTTTTAGTGATTTTAACCGTATCTACTATATGTGTGTACGTCTTTATGTTATTCTTTGTAACCTAATTCTAAAACTAATTTCTATTTTTCTTTCATTAATACCTGCAATATATATTAAGTATTAAGTACAATGTACCATTATACATGTATTATAATTTCCAATCATAAGAGTTATGATTTAGGTTGATACTTAAGCCGGGTTGACACTACACCGTGATGTGTATTTTATCAAACCGTGTGCTTTGAAAATGTGTGATACCAATATATATCTTATGGTAATACTATCAAATTTTGGTTACATATTTTCGCAGTTTTTTATTAGATATGAAATATTTTCATAAGTTTCAATAAATAATAACTGATGAATATTAAATTATATAGTAGACAGTATGTATTATATTATTATTAGGGCTCGAAACTTAATGTACTTAAAAATATCTAAATATGCATGCATTTATACGCTTAAAAAAGCACAAATATGCTTAAAAAATATGCACATTTTTTTAACACAAAAATGTTCATAAATAAAAATTTTATTAAATATACTCGTACATAACAGTATAAATGTTAGTATATTATACTAAGCTAAACATAATTTCTAGGTATAAATATATAAGATAAAATAAAATAAAATAAATAGTTTCAAATTTAAAATTTTCTTTCAAAATGTTCCCATTAGGTTTTTCATAGTGTTACTTCAAGGTTACTTAGCAATAAATTGAAAAGCCCTATAAAATCATGCAAATGCAACACCTTCTGAGCCCTTTGTTATTATGAATACGTTATCATAGAATATTAAATTATTACTATTAAAATCGGTAGCCACACGTTCAAAAGTTGAGGAGCGTCTAAACACAGGAATGCACCTTAAGCATTCTGCGTAATTTATTCAACATTATCATAATGTTAGGTTATTACATAGAGTAACTCTATGGGCTGTTATTAATATATCGTATCAAATCACTATAATACGATAATAATATGAGTTATGAACATAGATATATATATCTGTGGTTATGAATCAAACTATTCGAAATTTAACTACATACCTACTTCCTATGTAAATAATATATTGTCGTTTTATTTTAGTTGTTAAATAATAATGTTCAGTTTCGTTATAATTTTTTTTTTGTATTAGTATATTATTGTGATGTTTAGTTTCGACTCTAATATAATGTACTATGTATACATTATATTTTTTCATACATATTTTATAGTTACTACGTAATTACAATTTACAATTATAACCATAAACAAATGAATAGATGTAATATGAACCACCTGCGAATCGCAAAATTTCGAATAGGATAAAGTTGCGAAACAGCATTAGTAACCCAATGTATCCAGCCATCCAGTATATACTCTCCGCTTATATTTGTTACTATCATTTACTTTGTCTATGTTGGTGTTAAATTAAAAAGTGTTAAATAAAATATCAGTAATATCGCAATAAGTATTCTTGATGAAGTTATTAATCTAATTTAATATATAATAATATATAATTTAATAATCAATATTAATCTTAATATTGTGTAATCGTGTTGAACTCACAACTCGGCACACTATACTAGTTGGTTTTAATAATTCATACTTGTACTTAATGTCATTTATATAGATATTAGATAATATTGAATTTTTATGTTTGTGAATTGTATTGTTAATACTCAATAAAACATTTAGTAAATAGCCTTTGTGTAATACATTATGATAAAGTCTGGTTTATGAATTGTTCATATAGGTAATTGGGTAAATGTAGATATAAATAAACATTATTAAAAGCCATTTCAATATATTAGATAGCAGACTTGGGTAGTATTCCGAATACAATATTCAGAATACTTTTTAAATACTTTTTTGAAAGTATTTTGAATACTGTATTCGAATACCGTTAAATCATCTCTTTTTAAATGATTTTATTACTTTTCCATTGTATCTTGTATAAGCTAATATCAGGTATTTATTATTGTTGCAAACCATAAACTATAATAGTTATGTAATATAAAAATACAATACAATAACATATATTTAGTCAGCAATTTCAAATATTTCTGTTGAGTGGATATTCATTATTTTTATAGTATAAAAACTAGAAGTATTTTAAAAGTATTCGGAATACTTTTGAAGTATTTTAAATAATGTATTTAAGTACATATTCGGAATACTATTTTTTGTAAATATTCGAATATTTATTCTAAATACTTTTAAAAAGTATTTTACCCAAGTTTGTTAGATAGTTATTGCTGTTCTGATTTTTTTCAAATGTATCTGGTATGTATAATAATTTATTTACTGAAATGGTTGAAGCACAAAAAAAAAAGTGTAAAATACGTAAGTAGTATATTCAAATTTTGAAAATTTGATTCAAAACTTATATTATTATCGTGTTATACTCAGTGCTGGAAGTGGGGGGATACGGAGGGATGGTATTCCTCTACTTTTTTATATTTACAGTTTTCAACCCTTTACTTGTTTTGTTTAGAATAACGCATTCCTCCTAAGACTTGTATTTTAAAACGATATACTTATCATTTTTATATTTCTATATAAGACATTTTTTTTTTCAGTGAAAATAATTGTTTTTAACATTCAAGTCCAGCCGCTCAGCTTATCGTATTGTTTAGTATAAGCCGTTTCGCAACTCGTATTATACCCGTATTTAGAGCCACGGACTAAGATAATATATTTTATGTGAACTATAAAAAAAATAAATATTATAGGTACACAAGGTGTGAAGAATGTTATGATGATTTCAAGAAATCTGAATTATAAGGCATCCCTCTACTTATCTTGAACCATTTCGACCACTGGTTATAATGATTTGATACAACAGCCTAACATTATAATAGTGGAGAATAAATTACACGCATGCGTAGAATGCATAAGGTGTATTCCTGTGTTTAGTTATCGGAAATTTTTATCAGCAAGAAAATCGCTGCAAATCTTATCGCGCGCCGCATAAATGTGAGTACTTCCCGTAATTTAAAATTACTCCATCGTTTTATTTGACCTCTCCATACATACCATATACACTGCGAGCACAGAAACTCCTATATACAGCGTGACTCAGATAAATTATATATAACTATGAGTTCGCCATCCAAGTCATTAATATCTCAAATAACTACTAGATCTTCTGTTTCTACCAAAACTGTTAATCCAGCTCCATCTAATTCTGATATTATGAAACTTCTCAGAAATTTTCAATCCACACAATCAGACATTCTCATATCTAACAAGCATCTCGCCGATACTCAAATAGTTCAATTTACTGATCTAAAAAAATGTCTAGAAGGATTAACGAAACAAGTCGCAGATTTTAAACTTGAAAATACTATTCTTCATAACAAGATAAATTTACTTGAGACCAGACTTGCTCCCACTGAAAAATTTTTATCTGATACCGCTCTATCTTCATCAACTTCTTTTTCGGCTAATGCTCCGTCATGTGCTAAGAATATCATAATCCGGTGAGTGCTTAAATCTCTTGAACCTTCGGCCTCAAAAAGAGTCACTGATGACATTAATTTTGTTCAAGACATTTTTAAAAAGCTTGACCCTCCATTACCACCAACGTAAATTTGCAAAGCTTTTAGAATAGGAAGAAGTAAAGATTTGACACCCTGCATTCTTAAAATAGTACTTTATTCAAATGATGATGTTGAACATGTGATAATGCCTTTTCTACGCCTTCAAGACACCTCACCTGACCAATTCACCAATGTCATCATTTCTCGTGATCGAACGCCTTCAGAACGACTTTCAATTCGTGAAACCTACAACGAGTTACGTACAAGGCAAGAAAAAGGAGAAAAAAATATTTCCATCCGCTACTGCAATGGATTTCCTAGAATTGTTCCAGTCTCAACCACCATACGTCTCAATAATCAGCATACATCTCAATCCAATTCAAAAAACTAACTGATGCATGTTATCACCTACCATTCAACATTTTATTACACCATACTTGTGCCCATTTTAGTTATTCTTCTTCCTCTTGTACATTGTGTAAATGCACTATGTCTAGTATTAATAATTATTTTGATTTTGTATCCACTCATAAAACTTATCCTTTACATGATTCTCATAACTCCCTTACATTTAATCTCAATATTTTCTACCAAAATGTTCGCGGTCTTAGAACGAAGTTTATTCCTCTTAAAACTATTTTCCTAACTTTCGGTAACTATGATATTATAATACTGACTGGAACTTGGCTCTCTCCTGCTATCTCCAACTCCGAGCTAAGTCTATATGGGTATCACATATATCGTTTAGACAGAAATCATATCACTAATCTTTGTACACGAGGTGGTGGAGTGCTAATAGCTGTAAAATCT